GGCGGGTTCGGCAGCCTGTGGGTGCTCCCTGACAGCCCCAGCTGCCTCCCCGCGCTGACAGCCCCGGCAGCGCAATCCCACGCTTGCCATAGTTTGCTGATGCTCCCTAGCAACCTGACACTGCACTCTCTTTAACATGCGACCATGTAAAGAAGCAACAGCTCGTTTGATTTATGATACTTCAGAACAACTAAGATTCAATTGCTCCGCACGTCCCTGGCTCTGATTACCTCCTAAATGAGATAAACTGATGGCAATTTATCCCCAGACCTCACCAACTTTCCCAGGATGCTAACTGGAGACACTCGTGCCCTGCAGCAGGCATGGGGCTGGGCGCAGGGGAAGGCAGCCTGGATGGGCTCCTCCACTTTCTGTGAACCAGAGCTGAGCCCAACACTGTGCCTGGCTCAACACGGCTGCCAAGGTCTCCTGGCAGGAGATTTTGGGGCGGTCCCCACACCAGCATGGCCAAGCCAGCACGAGCTCATGGAGAGCCAGTGGCTATGCTGACCCCATGCTCCTCCTGAGGTGGTGGGTAACCACAGCAGGATGAAAAACAGCAGCCCCACCACAGAGCAAGGCAGCTGGACTCTGGACAACACACATTTCACACCTTCACCACATTGCCTGTGCAACAGCAAAAACCTTATTACCCTGCTGTGAAATAACTGCAGATAAAAAAGATCCAAGGAAGGACACCAGCCCATGCCATAAGCCATCAGGCATGCCCATGAGGTGGGGCAAAGGTGGAACCAGCACTGACTATTAAGACATCGGGATGGGACCTGACAGAGGCTCATTATCTCACTTCCTTGCTGCCAGATTCCACCTCTGAGGCAGGACAGTGACCACTGCGACTCCAACCCTGTGCCTGCCTGGGGCCTGGGAAGCAAACAGCCCAAGTGCCTGGAGTCACTCCTCTGCCCCTGCCCTGGTGATGAGCCACCACGGTGCCCAGAGCTGCATCAGCTCTGGAGAGCAATCACATCAGGTTTCTAACACAGTAGATTACACAAAAAATAAAAAGGGTAGTTTTTAAAAGCCAACCAGGAAGCCAGAAAATGCACCACATGACACCCCACGTGGAAGACACAGCACGTGCTGGGGAGCAGCAGGCTCTGGTCACCTCTGCCTGAGCATGGAGCCCTGGCCCTGTGGATCCTGTACCCCTTAACGACTGACATTGTTCCATAGGACACAGGGACGTGGAAAGACTGGATTCCAGCTGGAGACACAGAGGTGGGATTGCTCATCAAGCTCCAGGTCCCTGGTGACCCCCAGATGCCTGGTGCTCTGAGCCACGGAGCTGCCCCGGGCAGCAGACCTGTCCTACCTTCTGCTGCCGCGCTGGGGCCGTCGGGCCGAGGCGTTCCCGTGCTCTTTTTCCTGCGATGCTTCTTCCTGTTGGCGTGAGGCGATGGAGGCGGCTCCAGCTTCGGGCTGGCAGCACTGGAGATGTTCGGGCTGGAGCTGAGGGAATCGGCAGTACCGTTAGCTGGGAACAGAGATAAAGAAAGTAATGTACAGCAAGGCAGTGACAGTCTGCTCTTCCTAGAGATAGCCAAGCATCCTGAAGACAGCCCAGGGTCTCTGCCTGGCTGGAAAGACACAGCCCCACAAGACGGGACATCCCACGTACCCAGCCCGATCACCCAGGCAGCTCCGACACCCCCTGCAGCTCAGGCTCCTCAGCAGGGTCAGGGTGGACACGTTCTGCACCAGGATTCCTCCAAATGATCACTCAGGGACAGCGTGGGCATCAACATGGCTGGGACAAGCACAGCAGCATCCCTGGGGTCAGCCCAGACCCCAGCCCCTCGGTGCTGCCCCTGTGCCTCCTGCTTAGCAGCAGGGTCCTTGCAGGGCAGCTGCGCGTTCTGGGGAGGGACTGTTCCAGAAGGGGCTCCCAGGCCCCCTGTGAGAAGGGAGGGTCTCGGGTACAGACCCAGGTCCCGGGGTCTGTGCTGCAGGGACATCGATCCCCCATGGCCCCACGTTGCCAGACGAGGGGACTGGGGCTGCCATGCTCAGGAACCTAAGCATGATGGTCTCAATAGGCTTCCGATACGGAGCTGAAGAAGCTGCATCCCCAGCAGCAACACACCAAATTTATCCTCAATCATACTGTTCCTTACAATTAATAGCAGAATTAGAAACAATCAGGGAGCTGCCTAATTACTGTCAATTAGAGCGCGCTAATCAAGCTCCGATCACACACACACACGCTGCCGCTGCACTCACCATTAAATGTCAAATTTCATTAGAGACCAGCAACAAAATCAAAAGCCTGACATTCAATTTCAGCAGCACACACAGCGCAGGCTTCCAATCAGCATAAAAATGCAGACTCCGGGGAAGGCAACGAGGCGCAGGAGCCCTCGCTGCACTGTTAACCCTCTCTGAAATACACTCCTGCCTCTCCCGTGTCCACGCACCCACAGGACACGTATGGCAGCTCCACTCCTGTCCCAGGCAGCTTGCTGTCCTCTCTGCAGTAGCCCCACATCTCCCATCACGTCCTAACCTCCATCTCTGAGGAGGTTTGGTGGCACCTGACTTGAAGAAAGCAATCAGTGTCTAACATGGGCAGTAGCCTCCAGCAGCAGGACTGCCAGGGACTTGGCAAGCCCTTCTGCTCCAGCCCAGCCTCTGCCCTCCTGGGTCAGCCCAGGTCAGCCAGGCTGGCCCCTGGGGCCTGGTCTGTCTCTGTGTGGCAGGAAAACCAACCATGGGTTGGAGAGGGCTGCAGGCAATAGCCAGAAGGTGCCACACAGAGGTCTGGAGTGTGGCTGGTGTCCCCCCCACGAGGCTGGGAGAGCATGTGGCATCAGAGCTCTCCGATCTCTGGTTTCTGCTGCATTTGACACACTCTAGTAGGGTGTTTCTGCTGCCATTTATCCACAGGGAAATAGTTCACCCTTGACAATTAAGAGAGATAAATCTAATACATTCAGACTCCATTTTAATAAATATAAATTACTGATACTGTTCAGCAGGACTATGCTCAGAGCAGGTGTGAGGCACCTTCATCTCCCAGCCTGGATGTCGCAGGGGACCTGAACTTTCTTGTCTGAGGCTACACATGGATCATCCAGCCTAGCTCTGCTGCCCACCTGCTCAGCAGGAGGCCCCGGGGCCAAACCACACACTGCAGCACCCTGTCCCCTCCAGGCTCAGTGTGAGGGCTCGTCCCTTCTGCAGTTCCCACCAATGTCACTGCAGGCTGTGGGGAGCACAACTGCTCCACGGAGCAGAGAACATCCACGTCCCTCCTCTTCCTACTGCCCAGCAGATAAAGCCACAGAGCAGACAGAGGCCCAGGGAGCTACTCAGCATCCCCCAGCACCAGGGATGTGCTGCGGAGTCTCTGGCGACCCAGCCCTTCCTCGACAGCCCCAAGGGGTTCTGTGGGGGGAGAAAGGCACCAAGAGGTACGAGTTGCTGGTGTCCCACCAGCCCAGGGGGATGGCACTGCCAGCACTGGGCAACAGGTCTGTCAGGCTGCTCAGGGGGCAACAGCCCTGCCTGGCTGGTCGCCCCTTGTACACTGCAGACCCCCCAGCACAGCTGGGCTGGTGGCATGTCCGTGGGCCACTGACAAAGGGCAGGACACAGCAGGGCTGACCCGCAGGGCTCGGGTGAGCACAGTGCAGCAGGACCCGGGCAGAGCAGATCAGCTACATCAGTGCTCGAGAGTCAGCTTCTCAGCCCTCCATGTCACAGGGAGAAGCAGCAGCATCTCAGCTCCTGCTCATGTCAGTCTCCAGGGTACCTTGCCTGGAAGAGGTCCATTTCTTTGGGTGGCAGAGGCACGGAGGCTCCTCCCATGGACAGGGACACTCTAGCCAGAGCCAGGGTTGGGCAAAACGCAGCGTGGCCAGGCCATTCACCGAGGCTGTGCAGCGGGGCTGCAGGGAGGGGGACCAGATGGTCCCCGGGGCCACGCAGGCAGAACCTGCTGTCCTGAGGGGTGTCACAACAGGCACCTGTGCCGAGGCACCGAGCGACCCGACCACAGTCCTGCCCGCCCGGCCTCAGGGGCACGCGGGTCTCCTGCTGCTGGGTCCGGAGGGGCCACCAGCGGGGAGGACCCTGCTCTGGAGCGGGAACCAGCCCAGCATGATCCTGGCACCCATGCCAGCGTCCCGAGGGCTGCGCGGAGCAGCTGCCCACCCAGCACCTGCTGCCCCCGGGGCCCGCCCTGGAGCGCCCCGTGTCCGAGGCGAGGGCCGGGGGGGCCGCGGCACATTAATGCTCAGAGCTGCGCCCTTCCGCTCCCGTCGCCTGCGCTGCCCCATCAGCAGTAACAGTCTGATTAATTCGCTTCCAGCAGGGAGCTGATGGGGCCAATGATGGAGCCGCTGCATCAGGCGCGCTGAAATTGATAGTTTTTCACAGTTACAAATGAGGAGCCTCCTCAGCTGCAAATGGCGCCCGCACAGTCGGACTCCGGTAATGATCATAAAGAGGCTCTCTTTAAACTGCGAAAGCCCCTGGGACCGGGCGGGGGGGCGGCTGCCGCGCTAATGAGAACTACAAGGGGCGAGCAGGCATGGAAATGGCTCCTCCACTCTTGATGTGCATTTAACTGCTTTTTTAGTGCGGCGGCAGAGCCAGGAACGAAGGAGTGATGAATGCAGCACAAAAGCATTTATTTTCCAATTCGGCAAAGTGGCTACGTTGGGAAATGTATGAATTATTTTAATTCACTCAACTGTCCTGAAACATCGCAGAGAGCGAGTGAGCGTGGGGGGAGGGGGTGGGCTGCTCTCACTGTGTGCTCCCGAGGCAGGAATTACTCCTGTTCCGTCAAGTGCCCCAAAACCTGGGAGCTGGGGGTGCCAGCCAGGAGCAGAGATGGGGGAAGCAATGGTTACTTCTCAGACGGTGAGCTGAGAGTGGGGCTGGCAGAGAAGCAAGGTCAGAACAGTCCTGCTGCTGACACACACCCCTTGGCTGGAGGGAGAGTCCCTTACCATGTCCAGCAGGAGAGCTCTTCCCCCCTGGTTTGGACACCACCAGCAGTCCCTCACCAAGGTGGACAGTTCCAACAAGTACCCAAGGCTGTGTCCGACACCTGTCAGCAAACTCTGGGCTTGCAGCCACAGGGCAGAGCTCAGGTCCACCCCATTACCAGAATAAACCTCCCAGCTGCTGCAGCTGAGCAGGGTCAGAAGTGCTACTTACAGGGGTTGGGGCAGCTGCCAGGGATAGCCACGGCCTCGTTCCACTGGTCCGCGCTGGAGACCGAGTAGGAGCGCTGGTGCATCCCGTCGGGCTTGGAGCTGAAGCCCACCAAGTTGATGCCACTGATGGAGCGCTCCGAGTGCAGGGAGGTACTGCTGGTCGAGTGGGGAGCACCTGCAAGAGACACGAACTCAGCACGGGCCAACAGCTGCTCTGAAGCACAGAGGAAGGAGGAGAAGATGTCCCGGACCCCATGAGGAGTCCCCCCGGGTGGCCCTGCGTGACGACGGGCTCTACTGGCTCTTCTCTCCCAAAGGGTGCCAGTGCATCACCCCCAGAGGAGCCCAGCACACACCCCTTCTCAGAGGGACACCCAGCTTGATGTATTTCAGCCTGGCACCTGGGTACAGCCAGGCATCCTGGCACACAGCTTCCCTCTCCAGCCAAACTTCGCAGCTGGAGTTCATGGTCTGCTCACAGTCTTCACTGTAGCCTTAGGCACCTGGACAAACACAAACCTTCCCCACATCCAGTGTGCCCATCCCCAGTCCTTAACTTCACTCCTGTGTGTCCCTAGCAAGAAACACAACATGTTGGAGGCACAAGAAGTGAATGGGAAATCACATGGAGGATGTCAAAGGGACAAGCTGGGGAACAGATGTTGGTAAGCGGGGGTCTCAGGGTGGAAAAGCCTCTTCCCACTAGCTGGAAACCCCTTGAGCTGAGCCCAGACCTTGAAACCCCCAGGAAAGGAGCATTTTTGGGACAACACCACTCAGAGATAAAAAAATGGGTCAAATGGTTCTGGATTACACAAATATCCAAAATTTCCAGAATAGTAAACAGAGCAGCTCTGATGGGGAGCAAAACCCTTGCTGCTCAAGGCTGCTGGCAGCCTGGAAAGGAGGGAGGGATGACCCAACACCTGCACACTACAAGCCCTTTCCATGCCTTCCCTCAAGGCATCAGCTCCAGCTACCTAGAGCCGGTGTTTTGGGAGCTCGAGGACAAGCAAAGGGTCCCTTTCCTTACCTCACAGCTACCTCTCCTCCTTCCCACCCAGAGGCACAGATGTGGGGACCCTCCAGCCCTCCTGGCTGTCCCGTTGAGTGCTCCAGCTGCAGGGTGCCCATACAAGACACAGGTCCCTGGCCAGAGCCCCCTGCTCTGCCTGAGCTGGCCACCCAGTGGCCAAGCACAGGGCTAAGAGAGGCTGAGCAGCTCCTTTCATGGTGTCTAAGTGGGATCCTTTCACAGATGCAGGCTGGAGAACAGGTGAACACCTGCTACAGCCAGGACAGCTCACCTGTCCTGGGGCCTTCACCACCTGAAAACAGCCTCATGTTGCTGTCACAGAACCCAACAATGACTGGGGCTGGAAGGGACCTGGAGGTCCTCCTGTCCAACCCCTGCTCAAGCAGGGCCATCCAGAGTCAGCTGTCCTGGACTGTGGACGGTTTTTTAGTATCTCTGAGGAGGGAGACTGCACAGCCTCACAGGGTACCCTATTCCAGTGCTTAGCCACCCTTCACCAAGATCAGAGCCCCACAAAACCCCCACATGGAGCTGCACATTTTGTACACCAGGGACAGATACACCTTTCTTCAGTGATCTGAATGTCACCGGTGCCTGAGTGCTGCCTGGGGCTGGATGTGTCTGGACCTCAAGGAGCCCTGACGCCCCAGAGAGGGGACATGGGGCTGTGCTGAGGGAGGAGGGATGGGGCCACCAGCACCAGCTCTGCCCTTCATGTGCCTCCCCTGTCTCCTCCAGCCCACCTGGCACAGGGCAGAAATCCCCCTTCCCTGCGTGGCGATCTGAGGGGTCCTGGCAGAGCCCAGAGCTCGGCTGCCTCCAGCCTGGCTGCTCCCCTCCCTTCTTCCCTCCCCTTGTTCAGCGCCACAGAAACACGTGTAAAACCATGACACTGACTTTGCCTCTAATTAGCCCTTAATTTACAAGACACACTCGGAAGGGTAATTAGCTGGCGCTCCGCTCCTGACTGCCGCATCCATCTCCTCTCGCCTCCCCGTGGGAGGGAGCCTGATGCCAGGGACAAGGCTGCTCCCTGGGACCGGGAAGCGCTGGGTCCTGGGGACCATGCTGCCGGGATGGGATAGGGTGGGATGGGACAAGCCCCAGTGCCTGCCAGCCCCATCCCAGCCACGGAGGAGAGGGAGGAGAGAAGGGCATCATACCTGGGAGAGGCTCCTCCCGCTAAAAGGAGAGTCCTGCAGAGCCCCAGGAGCCTGGGGCTGCCCCTCACACCTTCACCCCAGCCTTGCTGGGAGCTCCAGCCTGCAGACCCTGCCCCTCCACCACCCTTCTGAGCAGCAGCTTGGGCTGCCACAACACCCAAGAGCTCCTGCTCTGACCAGGGATGTGCCAAGGCAAGCCCTGGACCTGCCCCATGCACGGACCATCTCAGCTTTGTGGCAGCAGGCAGTGGGTGAGGCTGGGCAGCAGGAGCCAGTGCTGGCAGCAGGGAAGGAAGCACCTCCAGAGCCTGCCCCACAGCCCTGCTTGGCCTTACTGGTGCTCACCCAAGGAGATGCTCCCCTGAGCTGGTGCTCACCCAAAGAGGTGGTGCCCAGCCAGCCCTGCACCAGCCTCCCAAGCCTGACACCATGAAGAACCAGGCCCAATTTGAAAATGTCATCTTGAAATGAAATGGTGCTGCTTAAGACTTCCAGGAACAGCTCCTGTCAGCCTCTGCAGTCTCTCCAGGAGCTCCCTGCACTTCTCACCAGCTGCCTGCAGTCTCCCAGCTGCAGAGAAACCTCCTCCCAGCCCAGCAGCTCACTTGGCCCACAGACCTCTAGGCTCCACAACTCTGGCTTGTCCCTGGGATCTCTGCCAGGTGGCCCCAAGAAGGTGAGAGCTCTCAGGAATTGCTTCCCTTCGGAAGTGACACCACTGGCAGTTGCTAAATATGTTTCCTTTAAATTAGGCAAGCAAAATGAAAGGTGAATAAAAGGCTACATGTAAATACTACTACTGAGCCAAAGCCTCCAGGAACTGAACTCTCCCTGACCCCTCAAGCTAAGCTCTCCCAATCACTGCTTCTCCAATCCTCCCAGTGATTTGGCAAAATAATACACAGGTGGGATTTGGATTGCACTAGGCTGGACCTCCTAACTGAGGACACAGGAGAAGGAGGAATTCTGCAAGTATTGCCTTGTCACAGCATCACTGAACACACCACCACTGAGGCTGGACAGTCAGGTGTGGTCTCACCTGTGCACAAGGAGGTGACATCAAACGTGACCCCTGGTGTGCAAGATGAAGTAAGGCACAACTGGGAAGTGTGCCCACCTCCTGAACAAAGCTGGCACCACACCTCACCTAGTCCTCATGCACAAGCTACCACCTTGAAAAACACTCATTCAAGGTGGAACAGGTACAGAAAACAAAGGTGATTTCCATTCCACTAATCCTGTTAGTCAACCAGCCTCCCAGGATCAGCAACACCAGGTGCATGGACATGCCACATCACAGACTTTGTGAATAGGAGAACACTAGAAATACCAACATCCCTGACAAGCTTCGTTCAGGAAAGGACCACTTCCTCCTCTTCCCTGAGCACACAGTGACCTGAGCAGCACTGGGGAAACCAAATTGTGACACATCAGCTCTACCTCCTACCACCAGCACCTGACGCCCACTTCTGAGGAAGCTCCCAGTGAAGCCAGATGTCTCCTTAATGCAGGTGAGTGACAGTGTCTGCAGCCCGGCTGGGCCATGGAGAGGCTGTTTCACCAGCACAGACAGCAGTTTGGGGATGTCTCCCTGTATGGCCCAGGACAGCACAGTCTTCTCTGAAGTGCCAGGCCCTGTAGGTGCTGGAAGAGGAATGCTGCCCCACACTGTAGCAGATGGTGGCTGTTTGGCAGTAGATGGTGATGGAGGCCACCCAGGATTCCCAGTGAGGACACTCTGGCACAGAGCAAACCTGGTTCTCTCTTGTACTACAGTGGCCAAAAGCCCTCTGCAGATTGAAGCTGTTCAGTCTCTGCCAGACTGTGTCCCAGAGGGACACCAGCTGCCACTACCCATTAACCAAAACTTTAAGGTACTTGTTGCCAACTGATCTTCATTTATTCCAAATAAAAACAAGAATCCCTGCAAGTCACCTCAGAGTATTGGCTCTCTGTTGGTGTCTGCAGCCAGAGCATGTCCCAGAGTCTCTCCAAAAGCTGTGGGGACCCCAAGACTCTGCTCCATGGCTGCATGGGGGGGGCTGGATGGGAACCCACCTCCAGCTGGTGGGAACTGCCTCAGCTCTGAGAAACCAGCTGGTTCTTGAGGGGAGGTGAAAGCCAATGAGCCTGGTTGAGCTGCCTGCCTGTGGAACCCCTGCTGGTAAGGACATAACTCACTGCTCTTCATCGAGGGGCAGATGCTGCCGCGTGCGCAGGAATGTCGCTGCCCTGGGAGCTCCCGTGGCCGCTGTTCCCAGCGCTGCCCACACTCCTGGAGCAAGTCTGGAGCGTATCTGGAGCCAGAAGCCTCTATCAGGCTGGTTTTGTGAACCAAGCCCTGCATGCTGCTTGCTGGACAGACTCAGTTCCTTCCTCTTGAACAGCTCCTACCAGAAATGAGGCCAAAAGACACAGGCGAGCTCTTATCAGCCTAAAGCAGCAGGATGGAGACCTGGCATTTGAAAGACCTAAAACCCAAGTTCTCCTCAGGAGGTGGCACCAGTGCCAAACACCTATACAGGCCCAGAAGCACGGCCGGGCATGCTCAGGGATGACAGATCTTCCCAGCTCTGCCAACAGTGAATGTCTCAGCAGAATCACTGATCCAAACTGCAGGCGACCTGGGTTTCCCAGCCCTGCTTCTTAGCAAGGCCATCAGGACCTGCCAGCTTGCACACAGTGGGAGCCACTGCTTGTCACTGGGCCTCACAGATGCTCTGGCACAGGGGAATCTGCACTTGGAGAGCACATTTTTGGACATATGCACGTGTAACACCCCAGCTCCTGCCACCGCTAATCCGCCAGGAGAAACAGCTCTGCATGGTCCAGGCATCTCCAGGAGGGCCAAAAACCCAATCTGCCTGCAGCAGGATGGGGAGAGCTGAACAGGACGTGGTCACTACAGACTGCTCCCATCTCCCAGCCAAAACCCAGGGCACACAAGATAAGCCAGGGCATCTCCAGGAACACAAC